GGTGTGTGGAGAATGATTTAAGCTCGAATGACCAAGTAGAACATCTCTACGTCACCATATTCGATGCATATTATATATAAAATGAAAAACACTTAAAGACACAAACAGCGAAGCAAATTTTCCCTTTTTGACGATTCATTTTCATGAGCTGTACTATCGTAATTGTAATTAACCCAGAAATCTTTCGACCAATCAGATACTGGTAAACTTTGAAAATTGTACTACATAATGTAAGGTGTAAGAAGGGATGACTAATTGTAATTTAGAAAGGAGACAGAAGTCTGTGAGATAATGACTAACCAATAAGTTCGTGTAGAATGGACGGGAACTAGTGGAAAGGATATAAAGTGTATGAAAAAGCAATGTTATTAATAAACAGTAATAGAGTGGTAATAAAATGTGGATGATGGGAATAATAATGATAATAAAAGTATTAAGAATAATAATAATAGTAATACTAACAATAGGGAACTTACATAATAAAAGAAAAAAAGCAAAATTATAGTAAGAACTTTACTCTGGCTATGGTAGGACAAGAGAATGTATGTATCGCTTTTGTATGCTCAGGTCCGGTTTCAGATCTCAAATATCTAATGCTTCAGCTATGTACAGATGGCTTATCCGAAGTCCCTTTGTACGATATTGAGGGACTCTGTGTAACACTGTGAAGCATTCATGCGGGGGTGGGGGTGCTCGTTGCCCGGAGATGATAAGGTGTTTTCGAGGATCGAGCTGTTGCTATTCTTCTTTTCTCCTCTCGGTGGCTGACTGACCAAGCTGGACAGTGTTCCAGAATACGTTTGTCGACTTGACGTGTTGCGTACGGCTGATATACTTTGCTCCACACAAGCAAACATGGAATTAATACTCAACTACAAAAAACACTGATTAAACGGTGCTTTTTTATTCTTCCTATCACTAATACATCGTTGTTACCATTCTTAATAACTTTTAATTTTTTCATGAATAATCGCCATCCAGGCATTAATGAAAAAAAGTAAAACTAGAAGGGTTCAGCAATGAGACACTTTTTATTCGACGAATTCAATTAACTCGTTAGCTGTACAATCGCACATATTTACACTTTTCTGGCGAAAGAAGATAGTAATAAAAGTGATGAGTTGTCATAATCGCAGTTGTTAATAGTGATCCATACTTAGAGGGAGTCGATTGGTGGTGTTAGAGTTACACAATAAGATAAATAATTTAACGAATGAGTTTTAATAAGGCATTTAGAAGACAAATTTCGCGAGACGATATCTTTATTTCGTAGTTTCTTTACAACTAACATGGTTAACAATGATAAAATAAAGTTCATGAAAATTACTCACTTAAATAAAAAACAAAAGTACATACTAATGACCAATCATATTAAGATAGGTCATGTAGTCCAGGGTAGGCGAAGATTGAAGTCTATTGATTTTTGTACACACAGTTTAGGCTGTATTTTGATTAATCCACCAAAGTGCTTCCATCACCTTCAATAACCAACCTTGAATTAGAGTTATGTTATGAAATAATTGTGAAACAGTCATTAATATTGATTTTGTGACCTGACATTAATAAGTGTTTTGCAATTTATGATGATGCTGGATTTCTATTCAGATTAATCGCATTGGGATTTTCCATATGATTTAGTAGCCATTTTGGAGCATGTACTTTTCGACGACATTGGAACATTCTGTTAGTTCTATCTATATAGGTGTCACCGCAGCTGCAGGTGAACTTGTAGATACAGTTTGAAGTAGAGTCCACAGAACTTCGTTCTTTAATCGTAGGTAAAGAGATCGAAAATGTTCGGCAAATGAGAGAAAGAGATGCGGTGTAGGATATACGTTTGATGGCTGACCGAAGTCTTTGAGCTGGCAGTCAACTACATAATCTGGTCACCCTTGAATGGTAGGTTAATAAAGGTAGCTTTCTTTGGTAAAGAAGCTGTCTTTTTGAGATGTGGTCTATCCCTACTGTGACAATTGATAAAGTAAGTTCTCTGGATAACCATTAGCTAATAAAACTGAATGCATATATCGAAACTCATCCATCATCCAACAAATATTTCACGAGGGAACGTTTATACTGGATAGGAACAAAACTGGCAAAATGAAGATATTGTTCACTTCATGTCTGTTTACGAAAAATAAATCTCTGAATCGTTCCATCATCTCTCCTAGTAATAGTCATATCCAGGAAACCGAGTTTGTTATTCGATTCGAGCTTTGAAGTCACTCGCATGTTTGGATGAATATGATTAAATAAAGTTTTCAATAGATTTACTATTATTACCAATAATGAGAGAGAGTATCACCTACATAACGTTTATACAGCATAAATTCTCCAAGCATACCTTGCATTTGTCTCTCCAATGAATTTTACTCAGAATGTTTTACTCAAGTAGGAACATAGAAAAATGTGTGATAACAGCTAAGAGTTCGAAAAATATACAAAATTTCTAAAGAGATGGAAAAGCAAAGCAAAAATCATTTTGATAAAAAGCAACAAGGGTGTTCCCATGACAACAGAATTGGATAACTAATTCTCTTGTGTATCCAGAACTTCGATTTCCTCTGTGTTTGAATGATTCGAACTTCAACAATCCAAAGGAGACGACAAAAAAAATGTATTGTCTTTTCTTTACAAGTTGTTCATCACTCTGTAGTTTACGTCTTCAACGACATCAAATTTACAAGAGACGAGGAATCCGAGAACAAAATCCTATTTTTGACATCTTAGTCAAGCAAACGACTACAGGGGAGCTGTTTCATCCTAGTTAGGGAATCATCGGCAGTACTCACCCACTGGGATTCAACCCCAGGACCTCCAGGTTACAAGGCAAGCTGCCTAGTATACCATTCCGCCACCACTCAGACCCGATCCATTGGCCAGTCCATGAATTCTAACTTCTACCGATTCCTGATGCATTTAGCGCGGCTCGCACCAACCATTGTCGTCGGTGGGACATCCATCCTCACACATGACATCTGGATGAACTTCACTGGTCACGACTTCTCACTAGAACTCACTGCAGGAAACTCCATCCTGTAGCAAGTCACTAGCGAGCATCAGATTAATTTTGTATAGTTTGATTTGTAAGGGTTAGTTATGTTTTTACGAGTTGACCACGGGGGGTTGGGGGTCGCGCTAAATCACGAATTGGTAGAAGGTAGAATTCATTAGCCATTGAATCGAGTCCCAGTGGCTGCATGGTATACGAGCTTGCCTTGTATCTGGAAGGTCCTAGGTTCGAACCCTGACTGTGGGTGCGTACCTGCCGATGATTCCCAAACTAGGATGAAACAGCAGCTGTCCAGTACTTCCTGGTTTTCAATGGTTCTCTAACTGATATCCATCTTTGGTCAACGCGTAAAAACATACCTAACCCTTACAAACCAAACTATGCAAAACTACAGGGGAATTAGAAACTCAAGTGTATAGAAAATCAACTCACACAGACCAAATACCCAGTCACACAACAGTAACAATACAAAAACACACAAAAGGAATTGTATACAAACACTATACAAGAGGGCCAGCTAGGACTCATTGCAGTACTCCCACCTTATGGAAAATCGAAGAAAGATATCTTATAGACGTCTTCCAAAAGAATGGATATTCACAGAATTTTATCAAAACACATGCCCCCAAGCCAACCTATCAAATGAAAGGCCCCGAAGGGAAGCACGAGGAAAATCACAGAAATCACTGCAAGGCTCTTCAAAACCTATAGGAATTCATTTCGCACGCAAACCAACAAAGTCACTTCACTCAATTCAATGTCTACCAAAAGACTCAACAACGAAAGGAGATAAAAACCAACATCATCTACAAAATAAATTTTAACAACTGCGAAAAACAGTAAATTGGACACAGGGGACAACGTCCCCTTCGTCTTCGTATCCACAAACATGAGCTAGCCGTCAAAAGATATGACATCCACTCCCTCGCTCATATCGCCTCACTACATACAGACAACGACGGACATCAATTCGACTGGGACAACGTTCAAATATTAAACAGAAGAAACACCAAGAATGCCAAAGAATTTTTAGAAGCCTGACTGGTATTCCAGTGAATCATCAATCAATAGACACATCGAGATAGACAAAATTTATCAACCGGTAAGCAGGAAACCTCACACACACACACAAAGGTTCAAACATCAGATTGACGAAAAAATCAGCTCAAATACAAGTAGCTTAGAGTGTGTAAAACCATACATAAACAATCAATCACATTCCAGGTCATCCACCAGGAGAGATGATTAATAGTGAACTCGTGGAAATTAACTATCCAGCCTTAGAGAACAAACACCACCACATCAAAAAATTTTTAATAAATGTAGAAATTAGTCGAGTGACCAGTGTTGACAGAGGGTTCAATCATTACACTCCATATAGAACTACTGACACCTTTCTGAAACCAGTACCTTCTGCTCACAAGTCTGGTAAGCTAGCTTGTGGACCATTGAGCCTTTCACTGGGACCCGATCCAATGGCCAGTCCATGAATTCTAACTTCTGCCAATTCACGGCATAGCGCGACCATTTCGCAATGTCTTCTGCTTAGATAAGTTACTGCTTCATCAACCTGCTGTACCCTACTGTAGTCACGGCTTCCCACTAGGATCCCAAGTTAACTGCCTGAATAGGGCCAGTTGCTAGTGAGCATCAGATGCATTTTTACCTATTGGTTTTGTAGGGATTTTTTGTAGTTGTTTAATTGCATTGAGGATTTCATCATGAGCTGACATTAGTTTTCCCCTTACTCTACTATGCATCGCGAAGAAAAATTCAGATGCAATAGTGTAGTAAAAACATACTGAGAATTCGACGCTCTGTATCGAATGTACCGTCTGGAATAAGGGCCTATCATTATTTCTTCAATTTATAAATGTGAATTGTTCAAGTTTACTTACGATTCTTAATTCTTTTATGCTATATGGCACCACTTTTGTGACGTTAATCTATGTATTCATTTGAGGTTATTCTTTTGTTTGTATTTCAGTGTTGAAAATCTTAGATTTATCATCAAATCAGATAGAAGAGCTTATTTTAGACAAAGGTCCATCAAATAATCGTTCTACATTCCGGTTATCAGTTCTACATGTTGAGGTGAATCGTTTAACAAATCTTCCAGATGTTGCTGGTCTAACTGAATTGAAAGTAAGCGAGTAGTACTATGTTAATGTAATGTTAATAAATTTATATAATTACTTTTCAGAGTGTTGGTTAGCAAGGGACCTTTGAAAAACTAACGGGATACCTTGACACCGGTTTCGTCCTTGTGTAGGACTCTTTAGAGGATTGCACCCATCACCCCCACAAAAGGTTCAGCTTACAACCTTACGACTACATTGCGATCCCATGGACCATTTAGCCTATTTGAAGGAATAAAATGACCCATCAACTCCGATTCGCGAGCAGCTTCCTCCTGTAGTTAGTCACTAGTGAGTAGTGAATCAAATTTCGAGTGTTTGTTGGTGGAGATTTGACTGATTATCAAATCTGGTCTCCATTTCGCCACCGCCTAGTTGCGATGTCATGGGTGCATACTGTCGGAAAGTCTCAAACAAAGACGAAACAGCTGTAGTTAGTACTCCCTCTTCATGTTCAAGGGTTCTTTAGTCTGATTACTTTTCGTAATATCTATTCTATTCGGAGACGGGGGGGAGATTTGTAGCTCAGGTGAACTTTTTTGTGGCTTCTAAGGTCTCTGGTTTATAATTGCGAAGCTTTTATCTCATTTTCTTTCTGGACAAAATATTCAATACTAAATTTGATGTGATATAGTTAGCATTGAGAATTCTCCGTGAATGAAATATTTAACTCTCTTTTGGTGAACTACATATGCACTGGCTGGTTGTTCTCGTAGATTCTTCATCTATGATTGTACCCACTGGCATTGATAAAGAACCTCTCGTTGACACTGTATATGACCTTTGACTGGACACAGGTTAGTAACTAGAGTATCATCAGATCAGATGGCCGGAAAGAATCACCAACAAGAAACTATGACTGGGAACAAACAAACAAAACAAGAACCAATCAATCGCCAACCAACAAATATGCAGGAGAAAGTGGATTAGACACTCACTGAGGAGGCCGGGCCGCCGAGTGACATCGCGCGCGCCTCAGGCCATTGCTCGAGTGGAACCAAGCCGAAAGGGAAGCGGCGAGTGGGACGTCAGTGCAAGGGTGGGTGACATGGAGGAGATCGTGTGAAGAGAGAGGAGTTGAAACAGTATGAACTAACTAACATGGATGGAGGTGAAAAGTACAGCAGCAGAAGACAGAAGTGGCAAGTGGAGACTTGAAGTTGAAGCCCTATGTTCCACTAGGAACCCAAGGGAACAATAATAGTAAGACGCAAACTAGATATATGATGAGCACCTAGAAATGCGCCACACTGATTCTCATAGTTTGTACCAGGGAATATGATACTGTACGGACACGGCTAGGCGGAAGCAGACAGTTATCTTATGCGAAGTGCAGCTTAATACACAAGGCAGTGCAGTAGCGTCAAGATTTACGCTTATGATGACAAAATAAGTTCATACACCGTTCAATCCCTTCGGATTCTGAACCCGCTATGTACACCATAGGTTTGGAATCAGGATTTTCCAGCTCCATTGGGCGTAGTATACCTGTATATCCACCACCAGTCCGGTTATAAGCGTCTTATTCTCTTTCCCGCCCGCTGTGTGAAGAAGTCAGTAAATACGACTTACCTTGCAGAGGTTATGAACGCCGATTTGAATCGATCTTAGTTGTTCATAGTTCACTTTTTGAGTAAGTATATCTCTATCAAACAACAGGCTTAATTCATATACTATATATATATTGTTAAGTCCAGAAGTATTTATCAGAGTTATAATGTGGTATTCTCTCTATATATATGTGTATGAATAGTAATTGTGTTTCCTTGTTTTACTGACTTACCCATACAGGAACTTCATCTAAGTGATAATCGTATCACAACAGTTGATTTAACCTGTCTACAAGGATGTTCAATCACTGTCTTAGATTTAGCCAGAAATTGTATTAAACAATTGCCTGAAGGAATACCTAAATGTTTGCCAAATTTAAGTCGTCTTGATATTTCATCGAATGAATTGACTAGGTAAGTAAATCATATATATATATATATATATATATATATATATATATATATATATGTTTGTTATTGTTATGTCAGATGTCGAATACCCTCCTTGTCAAGGAGGGTAAATCAACCGATAACGTTGTGAAACTACTTCTGTTGAGGTGGTTAATACGCATGTTACACACACTGGGTTCCAGGCTTTCTGGAGGATTAATGTTAGCTGACATAGGATCAGGGTTGGAATAAGGTTAGGGGTGATCAAACCAAAACTTCCCATCAATCCATGAACACTTGTGTCTGTTGGTTTAAATCATCCAGAAAGGTGTAGATTGTCTGACTAAGGTCTTCGGGAGATATGGTACAAAGCGTTCACGATGATGCACACGTATTCACTTCCTTTGATCCCCTTATGTCCATCAGACCGTCATGTTTTTCCATGTTGCTATTGTTTCTCCCTCCTACTTCTGCTACATGGAGTGTGACAACTCAACTTGCAATTATTATTTCTCTCAGTGAGACCGACAAGTGATTTCTTAATATTTGGATTTCGTCATGAAGTGACGTTGGCTAGACGACCATAGGAAAACCTGGGAGCACTGGACAGTTGTTCCGTTCCCCTAATTTGTGACTCTTCGGCAGTACGCACCCACTGGGTATCGAACCCAGAACGTTCTGGATACAAGGTTAGCGAGCTGGGACCCGGTCCAATGGCCAACCCATGAATTCCAGCTTCTACCAATGCACGATTTAGCGCGACCACTAGCAAATGTCATCGGTGACGAGTATTCGCCCTCAAACTTCACCTGCTTTACCCCACTGGTCACAAATTCCCACTGGAACCCAGGTAACTACCTACTTGAATAGGGCCAGTGGCTAGTGAGCATCAAATTGATGTTCGACTGTTAGTTTACAGGGATTTGATTGATTAGTTTCAGGGTTTTATCATGAACTGACATCAGTTAGAGAACCACTGGAGTACTGGACAGCTGTTTCGTCCCCATCAGTACACTTTTCTCTGTATCATACTCCTATTTGTGTATTCCAGCATCATTCGAATTATGCGCCTTTGCTTTTCTATGCCTTTTGAAATGTGGCAACCTCGAATTGATGCAATCCTGTACAAAGTACTACTGTAACCGTAGAAGATATGAGACTTCGTAACAGAATGTTTATCTACGATTTGATGCACACACACACAGGGCAATTATGTACACCTTATCTGAAAATCGTCATTTGCACAGATCTGGTGTGTTGTGCTTGTCTTGTCTTCATGTTTCCCATGTTCTCCTGCGCCGCAATACTGGTTAGTTCATTTTGCTGTGTTTGACATCAGATCTGTCACTCCACTATTTGATATTTTGTGCTGATGAACATGCTCTTATATACTACTGATAAACCTTATCAGTAGTACACGCCATACTATACTACTTTGTCTTTTCATAACTGAATTCTCCATTGAGTGAATTTTGGAGAAAAGTAATAACAATGTCAGGGTTCAAGATGAAACCAGGCGATTGTCTATTTCATCGGAATCTCCTGTCATCCAACTGCTAACAACATAAGAAATAGGAGTTATTAAGAAGGCGATTGCAGCGAAGAAAATTTTCTTTTCGACGAAGTCACCATCTAGGCTGTACATTGGTGTGTTTATATCAAATGGATTGGAAAGTTCCAGAATAATTTCCGGTTAAGGGTCAAATTAATAAGAAATGAAATTTAATATTTCTATTACACCTTTAACGCACTTTATTTCTCATTCAGATATTTAAGGGATTTAAGAAAGTTCAAGCTAGGAATATTCTTTTCGATAAATTCCTCTTACGGCTCCAAAATTATGCCTATACACATATGATCTTGTCCCTTTGGGTTCCGAGTGGAACAGGAGGCTTCAACAGCATGTCTCCACTTTGTTCTATTTTCTGCTGCCCTCTTTAGCTGGACTCAAGATTGCCCATATTGTCTCATCTCCTCCTCGCCCACAGTCTCCTCCATGTAAACCTCCAAGTGAAGTCCAACTCCTCGTTTCCCATTTGGTTTCCACTCGAGCGGTAACCCAACGCGTGATGTCTTTTGATGGTCTCCTCAGTGTGTGTGTGTGTGTGTATGTATGATCCATCTTATTTTTTTCGAAATATTTCTTGAGTAATAGATCCATGATCACCTTGTTCCCATAGTTCCTTGTTGCTACTTCATTCTGGCCATTTGATATTCAATACGGAGCCATTGAAAGCAGCTGTTAATAAAAGTCTGCAGTTGGCTGTGTTGGAAACGCTTCTGCTGAGGCTCGCGCCAAGTTTCTGACCCGTATAGAAGGACTGACTGACTCACTGACTTAACACTGGTGTTGAAAATCCGAATGCTGTTCTTTATACTAAGTGCAGTGTAGGTTTTCAAACTAATTTCAAATTCATGAATGTGTACCCTGCATCTCCAGTTTTTTTTTCCTTCACGTTCCCCAGTAGAACATAGGGCACCTTCAATCTAGTGGCTTGAAGTTTCTGCAGGAGTGTTTATTTTTACAGGATAGGGTTGCTAGCCTCATGCACAACCTTTCCTATTTACCAGCATTATTTTTGGTTTAGCGAAGTAAAGGAGTGCGTCGGTGGCCAGGGTGACCGAACCCCGGACCCCACATGCGTGGTTGGCGAGTGTCCTCACCGTTGTGCCACCGACGCACTTCCTAAATAAGTGAAAGAAGAAACCTTATACATGACATCGCGCGTCAGGCCATCACTTGAGTGGAAACCGAATGGGAAACGATGAGTTGGTGGACTTCACTTCGAGACTTACATGGAAGAGATTGTACACGAGGAGGAGGAGGAGGTGAGACAATATGGGCAATCTTGAGTCCAGCTGAAGAGAGTAGTAGAAAATAGAAAAAAGTGAAGACGTGTGCTGTTGAAGCCTCCAGTTCTACTGGGAACCCAAAGGGACAAGATTATATATAGATACATATGTATAATTGTAGATCCAGAAGGGGAATTTATCGAAAAGAATATCAATTGCTGGAACTTTCTTTCTTTTGTCTTCTAAATACTTAAGTTCATTACAAAATGCAATGTGAAAGAATAATTATTAAGAATGATCGTGGTATATGTGGATGAATCGAAATGTTAAGTTACCAAAATATTAAAGCATTACTGCTGTACTTATCATCTATCTAATTCGATCAATGTTTGTCGAATAAAACATAAAAAAGTGAGAAATAAGAGTAGCAACAAGATGATATTGATTCAGGTACCATCAATTAAAAGATCACGTAAGCCCTGTCGAAAAAATTGTTAATGTATATAAGTGAGGCATGAGAAAATAGAAATGGTGAGTTAAGCTCATTTGATTAGATATCAAACATTTGAAGCATGACACTTACTTATTAAATGATGACGTGTAACACTAAGTAAGCGTGAAAAGAAAGAAATCAACACTTACATTTGATAAAAGATATTATAATCAGTTAAGGTGAAAACACGAACTGCCAGGGTTGAGAAAGACTTACTACAGAGCATTTTTGAATACATAAGTCAGGTTTCCATCGTTTGATAGCGATTACCTTTGAGGACTTCAAGTAACAACTTCAGCTGCTTGTTGGTTTATTACTATTTTGAAGTATTGGTTTTCGGAGGGACTGTGTTTGATTGGTTGTAGGATTTCATCATCATGAGCTGACATTAGTTAGAGAAAACCATTGGAACACCACCAGAGAGTACTGAACAGCTGTTTCGTCAGCCTAATTTAGGACTCTCTATTAATGCGCACTCACCGGGGTCCGAACTCAGGACCTACTGGTTACAAGGCTAGCTAAATCGTGGATCATTAAGCCACTCACTGGGACCTGATCCAGCGGCCAGCCCATGTATTCTAACTTCTGTCGGTTCATGAAATAGCTCGACCATTTCGCAATGTCTTCTTCAATGAGTTACTACCTACTCTACTGGTCACGAATTGCCACTCGAACCCCAGGTAACTATCCACCTGAATATGGCCAATTGCTAGTGAGCATCAGAACGGTTTTCAAGCTTTGGTTATGTAAGGATTTTGTTTGGATGGTTGGAAGATTTCATCATGAGTTTAGTGATCTTCGAGCTCGCCTTGTAACCACATGGTCCCGGGTTAGAGCCCTAACGCTGGGTACGTGCTGATGAAGAGTCTCAAACTAGGACGAAACAGCTGTACAGTACTCCCTGGTGGTTTTATAATGGTTCCCTATCTGATGTCAGCTCATGATGATGAAATCCTCCAACTAGTCAAACACAGTCCCTACAAAACCAATACTTGAAAATTAATCTCATGCTCACTAGCGACTGGTCTCATTCAGATAGTTACTTGGGGTTCTAGTAAGAAGCCGTTACCAGTAAGGTACACCAGGTTGAAGGTGAGGCAGTAAATCATTGAAGAAGACATTGCTAAGTAGTCGCACTATAGTGTTGTTGTTTTAAAAGAATTGAAGACGTGTCTACTTGATGTCGTGTGTCAATCAAATGTCTCATAACTTCACTCTTCAAAGATTTATTTCCTCTTAACCATGGACTATTCGGTATATGTGTTCAGAAAATCTAAGATAGCCACTTATTTCTGTTCTTCCGGCATTATTAGTACTATTCCCTTGGGTTCCGATTGGGGCATAGGGCTTCAACAGCATATCTTCACTCTATTTTAGCTGGCTGAATCTCCTGTACGTCACCCTCGCAGATAAGCCCAACTCGTCGTTTCTCATCCGAGTTCCACTAACAGGCCCTGGTGCGTAATTTCTGTCACTCAACGTTCTCTTCAGCAAATGTCCATTGCATCCCCATGTCCTTGTTGGATGGTAGTTCATTGATGGGTGTGCTGGTAGAGTTTCTGACCGGCCATCTGATCTTCAAAATGGAGTGAAGACAGGTGTTGATGAAAAGCTAGCGTGGAAAGTCTTTGAACTAAACAGAAGCACTGACTGACTGACTGACTCCGTCCACATTAGTGTTGGAGATTCGAATGTTATTCCTTATGCTGAGTTTAGTGGGTTTTCATACTGTTTTCAG